TCCTCACGGGGCTTGCTAGGCTTGAGGCCATGGTTGAAGCCACTGTGTCCATACAGCTCCTCGAGGAACTTCCTCTACTTTCAAGCATGATGGCCTTCTGCAGAAAGTGGTCCCTCCGTCTAATGTGGCCAAAGTACAGGAGACACACCTCTCCAGCCTTGATTCTCGCTGTACCTCCTCCAAGATGACCTTGTTTGTTCTTCCGGCAGTCCATAGGACTTTCCATATTCTTGACCAACACAGATTCATGTATAACAAAAGCAAATGCACTGCCTTCGAGTCAATTCTGATTCATGGTGGTGACTCTAGCAGACCAGGTAGAACTGCCCCTGGGGGGGTTCTGAGATTCTAACTCTTTTTTAAAAAAAACACAATTACTTTATTGATTTTCTTATAACCAAATACTGCCAACCAGCATTACTTCCATTCATGCATCATTAAACACAAAAGGCTATTTCGTTGGAATTGTCAAGTGATGCATTATACAATAGACAAAAGTTAGAACTTAAAATGCACCCTGATTAATTATGTAAACTGGTATTTAAAAAAAAAGCGTAACTAATAATTTGGTTCTGTTCTTCATAGAATTGAAATTTCCATATTTCTCCTGATAGTCTTGAGGTTATCATCATGAGTAGATTGTAACTCTTTTAACAGGTTTTTGTGGCCCTTAATTTACGTATCATAGAATCAACTAGTTCAGTCGTTCAAACATCTCAAGGGGGCGTTGTGCAATCACCACCGCAAAGCTGCTGGTGGTTCTGCAGAAGTTGCTGGGGGATTTTAACTGCTGACCTTGCAGTTAGCAGCCCAGGGCTCCCTAACATTTAACTAAAAGGTCAAAAAGAAAAATAAGTGAATGAAAAAAACCTTTCCTATGTTTCCTGTGCCCAGGATGGTGACTGATTAAAAAGTAGACAAGAGCCTGTTGGGCCATTTGACTAGCACCAAAGTCAGTGAACCTTCCAGTCTGTGACGTTGGAAGTGGAAACAAGGTGGATTGCTTCCCAGCCTCTCTTTCCCAGGCTTAAGTATGGAAGGCACACTTCAATTATTACCATTTGATTCATTTCCCCAGGAAATTTCTGGAGGAGGCAAATGTCACAAAGGTAAGGGAGTCCTGTGAGCTGCAGGGCTTCTCATGAAAGGTAGAGGTATTTTCCTGTGGATTTGGGAATGATTTCAGTTTGATATCGACTATGAAGGACTTTACACCAGCAAGTGTCTCCCACCAATGATAGCTACCAAGAAGGGGGCTAGAAGGTGCTGTAGGGCGATGTCGACGAATCACAAACTACTTTTCCCAGAAAAGGTTTGGGAAAGCCTTCCGGGTCCTAGAATGATTCCTTTCATCACTAAATCAATGTACCCACGTGGGTGATTTTGTAAAGATGGTGAAAGGGGGCTTCCCCTACAAGCCTAAACAGATGCTAAGATTCCTAGCAACAAGATTTTTTTCTGAAATCATCCAGGAATCGTGCTGGCCATAAGGAGAAGCTGCAGTGGACAACAGTGAAGATGCAGGTATTTATTTACCAAATGCCCAGAGTGTCTGCAACACTGTACTCAGCGCTGTCACGCATGAATGTGGGTCTCTGTGGATTGAGCTCCCTAGAGTTGTGTAGTGCACACCCTGTGCAACTGTACCAGGGGGACTGCAAAATTTCATAGAAGAATTCCATTCTCTTTCAATTCTATTTTTCTATAAACTTTTTGAAGCCCCCTCCTATATTCATGGATAAGTATTCTGTGTATGCGTGTGTGTTTGTGTGTATACCGTCAACATGATGGATTGACACAATGGCTGAAACAATGTGAGTCAGTTGGAGTCAAACTGACAGGATAGCAAAAAACAACAGGCACACATATGTATATTTATGTGTGTGTGTATATATATATCCAAAAGTGTTTTTTCTGACACACAGTAACCCTATAATATAGGGTTTCTAAGGCTGTACATATTTACGAGAGCAGACAGTCTTATCTTTCTCCCAAAGAGCGACTGGTGGATTTGAACAGCCAACCTTGAAGTTAGCTCCCATCTTTAACCCACAGTGCCACCAGGGCTTCTGATATATATATGCTAAAAGGAAAAAAATCCAAACAAATGAATCCCACACCTAGCCGGTTAGTCCATTTTAGTAATGAGCTAAGCATATGCAATATGTTAAGCCTTTTTTGAGAAGAACACGGGATCCTCTTGGATTGAGGCCCTTTCCAGCTGCAGGGTTCACACGTACAGGAGAGTCAAGGAGAGGGTTTCTAACAGATTTGCCTCCATTCACATCTTCCATGTTCTGCCAACCCCAAACGGCTATCTTCCGATCACATGGGATAAGACAAATGACAACAGGACACCTGGCACTCAGATGGTATTACGTGGGGTTGCCCAGGCTACTAGTAGCTGCTTGCATAGTTGCTGCGGGGGGTGGGGGGGGGGGGTGGTCCATGGGCTCATGTTACTGGAGCTAGAATTGGAGGATTGAGGGGGCAGAGCAACCTCCTAGACAGACTTGACATCACTGAACCATTTCAGAGAATATAGGTGATTAGAAAATGCGTTGAAAACTCTGAGTTCTCAGTTGGGGGAACCAAACACTTACCCTTGGCATCACCAGAGCTGCTGAAAAGCATTATTGTGTGGAGACAATCTAGCATCTCCTATTTTTTTGATGTTCGGTGTCACTGAGTTGGTTCTGAGCCACACAGAACAAAATGCTCCCCAGTCCCATGCCATCTTCCCAGTATTGTTCAAGCCCATGGTATCCAGCCTGTCAATCCACCTTGCTAATTATCTTCTCCTTTTGCGACGACCTTCTGCTTTGCCAAGGATGAGGTCCCTTTCTAGGGACTAGCCCCTCCTGACCACAGGTTCAAAGTGTGGGGGACAAAGTCTCACCAGCTTCCATTCAGAGGACCATTGGTTGCCCTTCTTCCAAGACAGATTTATTCATGCCTCTGGCAGCCGACAGCGTAGTCAATCGTCTTTACCAGCTCCGTCACTCAGACGCATCCGATCTTCTTTGGTCTCTCTTACTCATTGTCCAACTTTCACATGCATGTGTGGGGTTTGAAAATACCATGTCTTGAATCAGGACTGCCTTCACCTCCACAGGGACATCTTTGCTTCCTAACACTCGACAGGGGCCTTTTTATAGGAGATCTGCCCAACGAAATATGGCTTCTGAGTTCTCCATGGCTGCTTCCATCAGAACGGATAGCACCACCCAGTACCTTGATATTTATAGTAAGTAAAATGGAAACAGGAAAAAAAACTCCTTGAATCCAGCACATCTGACAAATTCCCGAGTTCTATACACTTCAAAACAGTGCTGTCAAGGAAGCGAAATCTGAAAGAGACCAGGTTTCCCAGATACAGAATGGTGGGACCCCTGAGAGTATGACCCTGGCTTAACCAACTTGCCCACCAGTGGTTTGATTTTTAGCCACACAATAGACAGGTGTTGGAGAGGAACCATCATGCAGTAGCCTCATCAACCATCAGAGATCCAAGGGGCAGTACCTGCCCCAGAGAGAGTTCAGAAGGGTCAAGAGAGAAAGAGTGGTGGAGCTCGGATGAGTGGCGCTGCGTTGAGGGGATTTCAGTGAATGACGTGAAGCAAATGTGTATGAATTGTTGAATGGAAAACTGATGACCAGCTCGGTCAGCCTCCACCCAATTCACTAAAAAAAAAAAAAAAAGCAAGCTGAACAACCTGAACATCCTTATTGACTTCAAGTCAGCCACTTTTCTCTCCTGTCACCTTGCTCACAAGCAGGTTTCCTTGAGCCTACACTTGGGAACTGGTGGTGGGAAGAAGGTGTGGGACGAATCCCGTGGATGGTGGGTAGTTAAACAGTTGGGCAAGTGAAGACCTACCCAATTTGCGGCTGCTCAATCCTTTTTTCCTTCTCACTCTCCCATCTCCCTAGAAGCCTGTTTATACATTTTCCCTTAACAACCTCCCCCTGAAATTTTAATAGCAAACATGTACTGTATTAGCTGTTTATGCACTTCCTGCACACCCATGTTTTAGACCTAACACACACACACACACACACACACACACAATCATTCACATGCCTAATACACATGGTCTCCTGCTGGTGGCGCTATGGCTCCCATTCCCCTTGAGAAAGCCTGTCCTAATGACCTAACATTGTCTGGATTCAGCCAGAAATCCTAAATCAATGTTAGCACCATCGCAGTGAAAACAAATATATCGGAATCATTTTCACAGGCAAAAGCTTAAAAAGTTTTCTTTGTTTTTTTGATAGGCTCTACGAAGAGTACAACATTGGGCAAAACACTGCCCTTGCCCTTAGCATCCATCCAGGTTCTTATTTCCCTGCCTGGGCGTCACTCCGTGCGGAGGGCTCTATCCCATGGCTGCTCAGAGAATCAAAGGCATGCCGGCTTGTGTGACATTTCCCCCGCGTTCCCAAGATCAAAAGAAAGCCCCATCCGGGTCGCAGTTTATATTTGAGGATGGCAAATAAGAATTTGTGAAAACGGTCAAAAACGTCTGGGGAAGAGCACTAGCGTTTCTGATTTTCAGAAGAAATATACTAAACAAATCAACCGTTCCGATTCACAAACTAGGATATAATGGCCCACACAGGTGTGGGATCCTAAAAGCCCATCAGCTCGTCCTTAGAAACCCACTGTGTCATTTACAGATACAACAGAAGCGGAAGTCGCTCCACCAGAGATTCCAGATTGATCCCTGTCTATGGTCTATTACCCATCTACAGGAAGCCCCCTCCCACCCAATCCCCTGCCCCCACCCCAGCATTTTCAAACACTCCAGGCAAAAGGATTAGAATGAAATGCATAGAGACCAGCTACCGAGGCCCTCCCTAGGGATGTTCTCCATGTTAAGGTTGCCTCAGACACAGTCGGGTCAAAGGAAGGCAGGCTTCCACACAAACGGATTTAAGAACAACAACCAAACAAATAAAACCCCTCCACACCCCGTGCGGAAATGTTGAACACCTACCTTAACCGGTCCGTGTTCATGATGGGAGGCCAGGGACAGGCACGACATCACAAGCACACTCACCACTGTCCACTGGCTCCACATTTTGAATAATTCAGTATCCACCGATTAGCAAGCATGGGGCATCAGGCAGCTAGAAAAGCTTGCTTCATAAGGCATCCCTTCTCCAGAAAGTTAAAAAAAGAAAAACACAAACTCCAGACTTCCCGTGGGGAAAACCCCAACCCCAAATAGCTGTGATCAAAATCCAACAAAATGACTGCAATTAGGAAAGGTCTACTTCTTTGTAGAATCTTGGGGAAGGTGGGTGGGGGAGTGAGAGAGAGAGATTAAAAAAATATATATATATCCACTGCCCTCATGCTCTCAAAAAATAATCACGCTGTGGGCACATCTTCTCCCTGAACCAGTAAAGAGCACTCCTGATCCATTTCGTGGCCAGCAAATTTCAACCAGTTCCCCTGGACCGAGGCAGTGAGGCAGACATCAAGGTTTGGAGCTACAGGACCCCCTAGTCCAATTTTGGACCAGACGTCTTTTCACAACCTTGATGGAAGCTCGCAGAAGCCTGTGTCTTGAATCTGACACGAGCTTTGGCAGAAAGCACAGGCAAGCGAGTCTTGGCTGGAATTCTCTTGCGTCCCTACCAATCGCTGGGTAGTTTTAAAACTGACTCAAGCAGGCCTTCTGTTATTTTAAAGCAGATAACCTGTAACATGAAACCCCAGGCCGGAACCTTGACTTTGACTGTTGTGAGCAGTTGCATTACCTCAGGAAAGCAAGGGAGTGGAGACACCCGCTGCCTGTGACCCACCCGTGCACGAAAATCGCCAACACCTGCATCCATCCTTGCAGACACACACAGACACAGTTATTCATTGCTCTTTTGTTTTTTTAACCGAAACTTGGCCCAGATTGAAATAAACAACACCGACTAGTTTTTTGTTTGGTTTTGTTTTTGAAGAAGCAACAGGTTTATTGGCACGTGCCAGAAAATCTCCCACCAGTGCCTTGCTATGAGCATCATGCTATCACTACGGGGAGAGGGGGTGGCTCTTTGGAAATGCCAGCTAGATCGCCTTCGGGACTTGAAAGTGTTGTCGGATGGACATCACTCGCAGCAAAACTCCCGGAAGTGTCCACAGCTGCTCTTGGGGTCTTTGCTAGTTGCCGATCTTTGATCTCCAGGTTCGGGCCCTCTCAAAGCCATTTTTGCCATTTCTGAAATCCAGAATGGCCTGAGAGATCTCCTCGTTGGTGTTCATCACAAAGGGACCTAGGGCAAGGGCAGAAAGAGACACCGATAATGTTCCCGATAACGGCGACTTTTTCCTCCACTATTAGAAAGGGCACCGTGTTTCGGTAGCTCTTAATTGGACCCCCAAATCCAGGCCCATCTGAACAGGCAGGGGCTTGCTCGACCTCCGAAGGTGGTCGTACGAATTTCTTGGCTAGGATTGTGTATGGTTCTGAATGATTATGTAAACCAGCTTTGGGATCAACAAACATAAATCCATCTCACTGAGCCATCACAAGCTCCTTAGGGGCCTAAGGCAGGCTCTGTAGTCAAAACATCCTTGGGTTTGGCTCTATCACCCCCATTGCTGTGGCTGTTTACTGAATAGCGTTAGTGGATGTCAAGAAGTATGCTATTGTTGAGAACTGGGAAGTCTGGTTATCCAAGCAGTACATGGAACTACAGCGTTATGAGGATGAAGATGCTACGTCTATGGTGGCAGTCGTTTCCAGCAAGAAAGCCCCTTCCCTCCCTTCTTGTCTTTTTTGTATTCTCTGAGCCCTGGCAGCAGTAGTGGGCCGCACATTGAACTGCTAACCACAAGGTCGGCAGTTCACACCCACCAGTCTCTCCACAGGAGAAAGATGAAGCTTTCTACACTTGTACATATGTAAAGTCTCGAACCCCCGCCCCCAGGGGAAGTTCTACTCTGTCCTCTAGGGTGTCTGTGAGTCAGAAGCAACCCGATGGCGGGGAGTTTTTGAGTTTGGGGTTGCATCAGCTCCTGGTTCACTACCTGGTCTGGCACCAACCCCAGGATCAGCTGTGGCTCAGATCCTTGTGACCCATAAGGTTTCCATGGGCTGATTTGGGGAAGTTGAAGGCCATGCCCTTCTTCCTAAATCCATCTTCGTCAGCAAGCTCTGCTGAGACCCAGCCAGCATCTCAGCCGCACACAGGCTCCGCTGGCAGAAGCTCATGGGCAGGGATTCCAATCCAGGGCTCTCACCTAGAAGGCATCTGTTCTATCACAGAGCCAACTATACAGGGCCAACCAAATCCAAACCCACGACTGTCCAGTTGATTCCAACCGCTAGCAGCCCTGTAGGGCAGCACCGAACTGCCCTATAAGATTAGCTAGGGGCTCTGATTATGCATTGAGCTGCTGACCACAAGGTCAGCTGTTTGAAACCATGAGCTACTCTTCGGGAGACAGCCTAGGCTCTCTACTCCTGTAAAGAGTCACATCTCAGAAACCCACAGGGGCAGTTCGTTCTACCCTGCCCGATGGAGTCACTATGAGTCAGAACTGACTCAACCGCAGTGAGTGAGCAAATGAGTGAGAAACTGTACTGAATCAGACAGCCCCATCTGCCTCCCATCAGGGAAGGGCCAGAGTAAATATTTTAGATGATACGGGCCATGATGCAGTGTCCATCGTAATTATTCAAGTCTGCTGCAAAAGCAGCCATGGGCTCTGAGTAAGAGAATGGGCCTGGCGGTGTGCCCAGAGAACGTTATTCATAGAAACAAGCAGTTGACTCCCTTTGTCTAGCTCCTGGGTTTTTTGGATGAAGTGTTTAAGGAGTCCTCCTCTGAAGGCCAGGTGCCTGCCTCTTCCCTTGACTCCACACATTGTAGGAGCAAAGGTCCCCCTGACTCTCAAGATCTGCCCTATAACCTAGGGCAGCTCCCATTGGGGAAAGTTTCTGAAAAGCAACAGAGAAACGTGTCTCTCAGTTGATGTCTTCCACCGGTTCCTCACATTCCTGTCACGGAAGTCCCTCCTCCAAGGGCTTTATCTGTGAGAGCCTGAGGAGGAATGTGCATTCAAATCTCCTCACTGTGGGTCACATCACATGGCTGGTGGTTTCGAACTGCTAACCTCGAGGTTAGCAGCCTGATGCATAACCACTACGCCACCAGGGATCATTTGAAACATGCAAGAGGGAGGTCAAATGCTGAACAGAGCATAAACGAAGACTAGGCTGAAATGAATCGGCACTGTTTATATTGATGATCAGCAGAGTGTTTTGTTTTTCTTTGCTGACAAAATTTTGTGTACCTGGTGATTGATGCAAAGTGAAGGTCATGTACTGGGATTTTAATGAAAAGTGGATTTGATAATTAATAAAGTCAATAAATGTCATTTCTTACAGTCCTACTAAGCTGGAGTCCAGGTACTCCCAGGTGCTCCTTGTAGACTCAGACAACAGTGGTAGAAGGAAGGCAGGAAGCAATGGCGTGAATGACCGTTACAGGTGCTTCCACAAGGGCTGTCTGCCTCCAAGTGCATAGTGTTTCAGCTATCCCACAGTTACCTCTATTCATGATACAGTCAATAAAGAATGACTTAAATACTTTTGAAACTTGCGAGGAAATTTTATTCCTAATAGGCTCATGTTTTCCACTCAGTCCCCAACAGAATACAAGAATGGTCTTGAAAGAGATGTTGTTTTTGGTCAAGATCACAATGACACTCGAATCCCCAGCAAAATCTGTTCATCTTTAACGAACTCCCCTAGGGACGAATGCAACACTGTCATTCCCTCTCATCA